CACTCTTTCTCTTTGGTTTCTTTGGCATGCTCAAGTTTGGCCTCATTCTCCCCACCCCATTTTCTTCCTACCCATGTGCCACAACCCTGCCTCGGAGCCTGATCTCAAACCCGCCTTCAAATTCCAACCTTGGTGTTGTGAGAGAGCAAAAAGATGAGATTTTGAAGAATGACCCTTTGGTGGTTTCCCTTGTGGAACTGAGGGCACAGGGATTGGACACAGTGGAAGGTGATGAGGGCGTTGAGAAGAGTGAGTTTTGGAAGCAGCCAAATGGGTTGGGATACAAACCTTGCTTGAGTTTTAGCAGGGATTATAGAAGAGCAAGTGAGGGGGTTCTAAGGGATAGGAGAAAGTACCTCATGGTGGTGGTTTCTGGGGGGTTGAATCAGCAGAGGAATCAGATTGTTGATGCTGTTGTCATTGCTAGGATTCTTGGAGCTGCTTTGGTTGTTCCTATATTGCAAGTCAATGTCATTTGGGGTGATGAAAGGTAAATATTATTCTTGTCCCGAGTCTATGCTGATTCATTTAGTTGGGTTTAACTATATGAATTCAAAATTTAAATTTTGGACAACATATTTAGTTATGTGTAGCCTTACAAATATGAATTTCTTTCCTTATGTTGATCCAGTTACTTTATTAGTGTTGATTAAATTTCTTTTCTTATTTGTGTGCGGTAGAAAAAAGTGTGGTGTGACTTTAATGTTTTTCCTTATTTGTGATGTTTTTATATTGGTTTGGTTTGGTTGCAGTGAATTTGGTGACATATTTGACTTGGAGCACTTCAAGAGAGTTCTTGCCAATGATGTGCGAGTGGTGTCAGCATTGCCATCAACGCACCTAATGACAAGGCCAGTGGAGGGGAGTCCTCCTCTTCATGTCACTCCTAGTTGGATCCGTTCAAGATATCTCAGAAGAGTAAGAGCCTTTTTTGACTCACTTTTCACTTTTTGTTTTATAATTTGTTTTCCAAAACAGTTTAATACTACTCAAGACTCAACTTCTCATCCCAAATCTATTGAGTTTTGAAAATTATCCTCAAAAAACAGAAACATTTAAGAGGTGTTCTCTCATCCTCTCTGTTTTCTTCAAGTGTTCTATTCATTGCTTCAGTAATGCTTAATGGGGTTTAGCTTCTCCAGATTTTGAGTCCTCCTGAAGTGTTGATACTAATTTCAATATTTCAAAGAGGGTTATTTTATGGATGACACCAACATTAGTATAATCAGAGTAGCAATGTTGTAGATAAGTAATTAGAGGCCCCCATAGTCCCTATCAATGTGTTACATTTGCATTGTTCACCTAGCTTTTTTATCTTGTATGGGAAAAGTAGTGAGTATTTATGTTGTTTGGAAAAAACACATTCCTTTTTCTAATTACAATCCTGGTTGTCTGTGCAGTTCAACAGAGAAGGTGTTTTACTCTTACGTGGTTTGGATTCAAGGCTGTCAAAGGATCTTCCTTCTGATCTTCAAAAGCTTCGATGCAAGGTATTTGACACTCAAATTTTCTTCCTTTGCAAAAGAGGGAAAATCAAGAAGAAAAAGAAAACAACTGAAACTCACCCTCTAGGAATTTACATGTATGGCAACTGATTGAAGCTTCTAAAAGTTAGTTCTCATCTTTTATTTCAGGTTGCTTTCAATGCATTAAGGTTTGCTCAGCCGGTTCAGGAACTTGGTGACAGGATTGCAGAGAGAATGAAGAGCAAGGGACCTTACCTTGCTCTTCATCTAAGAATGGAAAAGGATGTGTGGGTGAGGACTGGATGCCTCCCTGGTCTGAGTCCTGAGTTTGATGAGATTATTAACAATGAAAGGATACAGCGGCCGGAGCTCCTAACTGCAAGATCAAACATGACTTACCATGAAAGGAAGATGGCTGGTTTATGCCCCTTGAATGCTGTGGAGGTTACCAGGTGAATATATTAACACTTTGTTTAATTGGTTGTTTTTAAGAACTATGTTTTATACAACGTTTCTAGTGTGTCCTTGGGACTTGTGTGGATATTGAGGATAAGTCTTTTAGGACATTGCTGTTGTACGTCTCAAGAAGGTTAACAAGTTAAAATTTTCACCAGAGATAGACAACATAATAGAATTTTCTGATAGATGTTTTGATTTCATTTATAGGCTGTTGAAAGGTCTAGGAGCTCCAAAGAATGCAAGAATTTATTGGGCTGGAGGGCAACCCTTGGGTGGAAAAGAAGCCTTGCTTCCATTAATCCAAGAATTCCCAAATTTTTATAGCAAGGAGGAACTTGCCTTGCCTGGAGAACTACAACCATTTGCAAATAAGGCTTCCATAATGGCTGCCATAGATTACATAGTCTCTGAGAAGAGTGATATTTTCATGCCATCTCATGGGGGAAACATGGGCCATGCAATTCAGGTATGCTTGTTAAGTTGTTGGTGATTCTTTTAGTCTTCGCACTTGAATTTTAAAAGCCTGATTGGTTTGGAAAAAAACATTTTATTTCTTGTTTTAACAACAATTACACAAATGCCAACTTATTTTCATTTGTTTCTTGTTTTGAAATATCTGTGTAGGAAATAGTGAAAACATAACAAAACAGGAAATGGTGAAAATATCAGTTTGCTATTTTCACCATGTCTTGTACAAATCTAGGAAAACAGGAAACAAAGTGAAAAAAACAAGTCGGTAGTTCTATAATCATTTGTGGAAACATGAAATGGAAATAGAAAAAAGAAAATGCTTTATCAGCCAATGTGACAATGTCTAATTTCTTGGACTTAAAATGTTTCACTTTATTCAGGGTCACCGGGCATATGCTGGTCACAAAAAATATATAACCCCAAACAAGAGACACATGCTCCCATATTTTCACAATTCGTCCCTCTCTGAAGAAGAGTTCAACAGGATTATCAAGGAGTTGCACCAAGACTCATTGGGGCAGCCAGAACTTAGAACTTCCAAGGCTGGGAGAGATGTTACCAAGTATCCTATTCCTGAGTGCATGTGCAATGATGACTGACATGCTCCATCATGATTTACAAATTAATGCCAAAGTTTGTGGCATAAAAAGCTACTTGGCAATTAACAAGGAAGTGAGTGCTATTATCAAAAAGATGAGCAATTTTGATCCCTTTGGAACCACTTCAGGGAAACTATGGGAGTTATAACTTCTGAGCATCCATCTTTTACTACATATCATGTCAAGCACTCCTCATCATGCAGGTGTATCATTATTCCTTGAACACGTTTATGTCTGGCAATGTACATTTCCATCATCAGTCAAATGATAGATTCAAAATAATACACAACAGCAGATCATTCTTTGATTTTTTTCTTTATAGAGATTGTATAGGATACATGTCCTCTTTTGCTGTGTAATTCTTTTTATCAACAATATGAAGACTAGTTGATATTTGTATATATAATCATTTTTGGATTCCTGTCACATGATCTTAAAGATCACCTTGTGCCACCCTTGCTACCATTTAATTCAGTACGAAAGTAAGACAAGTCAAAAACTAGAAGAAACAAAATGTGATTGGATTGGTATTCAAATATCAGGAAAGAAAATCATTGTAAATATTCTGATAGTAGTTTTCATAAACTTAAATGTGGTGCATTTTTTCTTTTTCATTAGAATGTTAAGAAAAATGTATTATGGTCAGTTACTTGTGTTTTCTGAACCGAAAAAGGTGGTTTTAAAGTGACTTAGGTTTTCCAGAACAAGTCATGGTTCTTTAAAACAATAACAGTTTTGTTTTGTTGTTGAGCAAATAGTTTTTTACAATGTAAAGAAATTTTATATTTATATTGTTATTCAATTATAAATTGTTATGTATAGTAAATTTTGTTAATTTTTATAATAATAATTTTAAAAGTTAAATTAGAAAAGATTTCTGATTAGTTAATTATGTAAATTTATTAAACTAATATTTTATAAAAATTAAATTATTTGTTTCTTCTTAAGAAAAAATGGTAAGTTTTTAAAAAAGTTTAGACAAAATTATATATGAAAGCATTTCTTTTTCAAAGTTTAAACATAGGTGCCCTGTTGTTAGGTAGGACCACCCCAATTGCCAAAGCTAACATTATTGTAAGCTTGGCATTATATGTTTGTTTTGGCATTATTCTGGTTGAGATTTGATGTTAGCTTCAGGGTATACTGACAATTACTCAGGACACAATTGAAACATATCTAACCTCTTATTTGAAAATCATCCAATTACATCCACATTTAGAGGATGTTACATGTCAGAAGGCAGCCACTAACCTATCATAGTCTACACTTTCTAGTATTGTATTCCTTTTTTTGAATAATATGACAAGGTCAAATTAATTTTTCTTTGGTCTATCTTTCCCTTTATATCGTCATATAATCATGAATTGTGACATATATAACAAGATTATTGATTTTTATAAAAATTATTTTTTAAAAAATAAACATTTATACATACAGTGTTTGATACTCTGGTTACATTCATGTTATATTATGTGGAAAAAAAAATTGCTTCTATTGGCACACATTTAATGGCCCTTGAAGGAAAAAGCAAACATTATTATTTAATAAATTTAATTAGAATACATTATAATGTATTTTTTTTTTTACGTAATCATCTAGTTATGAATTATCATGTAATTGGAAATTATTGATTTTATAATGATTAAAAAATTGTATTTAGAGCGATTTATAATATAAAATCTTCAAATTGAAAATGTATTAAAATTAAACTCTTATTTGATTATTTATTAAAAAAGAGAAATAAAAGTTTGAACTTGACCTGTCATGTACGTGAGAAAGATCTATTGTCATTTCTTCCAACATCTGATCTATTCAATTGACTATACTACTTTTAACTTATTGATGCATCTCATGTAGCATGAAATGAATCCCCCATTTTCCTTGAATGAACTTGATTGGAATTTAGCATCAAATTCACTAGATTTAAAATCATCTCACAAAATCCATTTGATCCAAGGCAGAAGAAGGCTTGGAGTGCCATTATTTTGAAACAAAAACATATCATGTTATTGGTGGACTAAGATTGAGACACTATTTATAAGCATGTTCCTATAAACCAAGAAATGTTCATGACTTCAAATGTTGATGGCTATTGAACAAGTCAAACAACACCATGACCTACTCAAATTTGGTTTTATCTTCTTGTCAATGTTATCTACCAGCATCAGCTGTACCTGAAAAAGTTTGAAAGCAATGGACATGCCAAGTGTAATAATGGTACCTTCCAAAGTTATTCTGACTGACCCCTTTTTAGTTTTTGCTGCATCTGCCTGCTACTGTTCAACTTGAACATGAGCACTATTCAGCATTCACTGCTTTGCTTCTCTGCAGAACACCTGCATAAATTCACCAATCAGCATTTACATGCAATGTTAGTTAGTTCTTCTTGTATTTTTTTTGTATGATTCACATAATATTTAGTTCATTCTTTAAAATTTTATGGGGACAATTGTGTCAACAAATTCAAGATCACCTCTACCCTGTGCTCACACAATATAGGGATGATCTATTTAGCGGAGAATTCATGTTGTTCGATATTATGTTTGAAAACTCGTTGAGTTAGTCACAATCATGGTATCATGAATAAGATTAGTTTCTAACACAGTACGTTCGGGATACCTGTGACATGAAAAAAAAATAATTGAGGATCACCTCTTAATAAAAGGGTATGTCCTCCACCCAGGAACCTTTGCACAATGGCCTTGCAAAAAGCCCTAAGATTCCTTGATCTCCACCAACTGGTCCCCATGGGACATGCTATCAGTAATAAGGTTGTAGCCTTGTGGATGTCCTGCAGTGGAATTGAGCATAAAAGTAGTGTGTGACATGGTGTTAATGGGACCCCTCATGGCCCAGAAATCTAAAGTTTTGTTGGAAATTTATGGGATCATGAAGAAAGAAAAACTTGTAATGTAGGTATTATCCAGATGTGCACCCTTTAAGAAGCTAAAAATAATCTCAATTATTGGAAAATTCCTAACAGGAAAAAGGTGCCAAATGGCTAAAAGTTTATGTAGGGAGACAATAATTTAATTGAACATTTGTTTTTGTCAGTCCTGGTAGTGCAATTACAACGAATCAATTTCTCCTAAACCACACATGTATTTGGACTCATTTTATGTCAATTACAGGAATTATACGAATTACGAAATCATTTTATGTCCTAGAGATTTTTAACTCACAATTTACTTTATAATTTAATGCATAAAATTTATTTTTAATGGTTAGCATTCATGCAGTTGAAAATACAACTGTAGAGAACCCCAATCCACAGGAAATATAGAAGTTTGGATAACACGGCAATTACACAGGTGAATAGACCAACTTAATTGCATTTATTATTAACCAATGTGTAATTTTCACTGCTTAATAATTTTTTAACTTGAATTCAGTCCTCAAATTTTAAATTGTTACAATCAAGTTTTTTAATTTCTTAATTTTCTTTTTATATATAACCCTTAAGTTCTTATGTTCTTAAATAGTTAGAATTTAGAAGTTTAGGATGAACTTGAGGTAAGATGATTTAGAAGTTTCAATTTAGACCCTTTGGAGTTTCCTTGTTTGAGTGCTTGTGGCATTGATGAATTAGCTCTTGTGGTTAATAAACTTGATATCCAAATGCATAGACCTCTAAGCGTGGTTTATAAGGATTGGAGTCAATATGAACTTAGCAAAAATAACTTGCTAAATTAGCTACTATTAATGTTTACCCTTATTTCAATGTTGAGAACAAACTGCTTTATTCTAATCTACACAGTTCGTGAAGGATTGATTGAATTGGTTATATCAATTTTGATTGAAATTTTTATGCAGAGAGCTTATTTCACTTTAGCATCAGTGTACTGTGATATTGGTGTAGGTACATGGGTAGCTGGCAGGGAAATGTAAATTAGCTATAGCTACAACACTCTGTTTTCCTTGGAGTTGTTTTCTATTATTTTTTTCCTTTTCGGTACAGCTTGTGTTCAAGTCATATGTAATATATTATCTTTTGGCCTTTAAAAAATATTTTAGACCCTTTTCAACTGAATGAGCGAATTTGTTTTCGGGAATTACCTCGAGTAATGTAACACCAAATGAGGCCATTATACAAGTTGTACTGTAAAACTAATATAAAAAGGGAATATTTTGACATTAATCATTGAACCTATTTAAAATACATATTTCTAAATTGGTTATTAGATATTCATGTCGAGTTTAACCTATTTTAAGAGCCAACCCAATTAAGACCCAACCCAATAATTGAGTTAGATAGTTAAGTTGATTAATTAAAATATTAATATTCTAAATTTTGAAAAAAGTTAAAAAATAAAATAAAATAAAAAACACAGTTTATGTTTTAATGCATGTCTCAAACATTAATAACAAATAGCTATTACAAATTACATGATACATGTCCAAACAGCACACCAATAACGAGGATGAATAATTAAAAGCATGAGAATAATTGTTACCAAATTAAACAAAGCATTAAGAATGAATTATGTACTTTATTTAACATAATTTTGCAAATAAAATATTTCGTGGCAGACAGCTCTATTTTCAAATTAAAGAACATAAAAAAGAGTATCTTACAATTTTGTTCATGAAATGGAAAAGAAAAATAAATCCCATCAAGTGTACCATAATACCATAATTACATAACTACTAAGCAATAGCATTATAATACCACATCACTTGCAAACAAAGCTGAATGCTAATAACCGCCAAGTTTACAGTATGAAGGCAGTATCTTTAATATCAAGTGACAAGAACACATGAATGAAAAATAGAATCAATGGCTATGAATAGCAACATTGATGAATTTAAATGGAACAAATGAAATCATGACTTAACACATTCATATTCCTTCTTGAAAGAAAGATGCTAAATAGCTTATGGTACAAGTTTTCTCCCAATGACTGGAATAAGTTACCAGATCAAGAAACCTGTGTATTAGTTTCTTTACAAAAATGAGAGTAAATCTGTTACCAGATCTGGAATAAGTTACCAGATCAAGAAACCTGTGTATTACTTTGTTTTAATCCCAATCTGGAACATGGAAAATCAAAATTGGCTCTGAAACAGTTCTGCCTAAGCCAACCACTCCAATAGATACCCCAAAACCAGGGAAGAAGTTCTGCATTTCCATAAACATCAGACATCTTGCCTGCTTTCCCACATCTCCAGAATAGATTTGAGTATGTTTACCGATACCCCTTGTGTTGTGCATGCTTTCATGCTAAACCAACTATCACCAAGGTAATCCTTCATTTCCATCAATAATGTTTCTCTTCAATATCATATCATGCCTGCATTAAACATGATTCTTCTTTTGCAGAAACAGGCCAAAATGGTGATAATTCAACAACTTTTCCTATAATAATCAGTGTTGGTGACACCAGCTGAGCAGCTGAAATTTTCTCAGAAAGGTCCTTTAGTTCAGCAAAAACCTGCATGATTGTGAATGATAGTAAAATCAGCTTTTGGACCTAGCATCCAGAAATGTTGAATTCGGAAGAACTGGCTATGCATATATTGCTGATTTTACAATTGTATTTATTGATCAGTTTAAGTTAACCTCAGAAGTACAAAATATAATCTCTCAAACTTCACTTTCATGACACCCCTCATTCAATCTTTTATTTCTGAGTATCTTTTACAGTAGGTAATTTGTCAACATTAACAAAAACAAAGGCATCAACAATAAGGATTTGGATAATCTTTTTTCCTTAGAAACATGTAAATGGTATTTTCATAAAGAGAAAGACACCAGAAACTCCTGTAATTATACTGGATTTGTGGGCCTCTGCATGAGATATGGTGGGTCCTGTGCTGTTCTATGTTTTACTCCAAAAATTATATATTCACACTTCATATTCTAATATAAAGAGGATTAGAACCCTGACAATAATACACGCCAAAGTGGTGCCAGAAAGTCGAGTGGGAATTTTTGGAACTAGAACTGTTTTCGAGTGAGGAGGGAAGTTGGGGTGGTGTGGTGGTCTTCAAAGTACAGACTTCTGTCTACAAAAGGAAATATTTTTTCTGTCTGCATATAATTTCAATTGAATGGATTTCTAATAGTAAATGAAAACTGGAATAAAATTTTCACCATCATTACTGTCTTTCATATATCACAACTCACAAGTTTACAAGTGTAGATTCATTTTGTTATTATGGAGAGCTCATTTACAACCATCATTTTTGGTATTGCATAATAGAAGAGGTAAAATTGATGCTCAATAGCACACAACTTGCAATAATTTTAGGATAGCATATTTATTATTCATTAAGTTTCAATATGATACTACCATACTGAAACAAGTCCACCTTCATTCCTTTTTCATAAGCAAAAATTGTTACTTTACTAGTATGTTAAAAGTAAAATGATCATTTCATTATAAACCAATAATGCCTGGAAATGTGATCACATGATAGGGCATAATAATTAGCAACTCAATTAATGTAGTAGGAAGAGAACAACTATGTTGAAAAGAAGTTATGATCATGCTTACTGTGCGCTGCTGAAGTGTGGTCCCTCGCTCAATGGCTGCAGCTGGTGTCTGCGGCGACAGACCATGCTGCATTAACTTCTGTGCAAGTGAAGGGAAGGTTGACAAGCCCATATAAACCACCAAGGTAGATTCAGGATCGGCAGCATTTTCCGATACAAAGAGAGGATCGGTTCCTCCTTTCCTCGAATGCCCTGTGAGAAATCTCACACTATTTGCAATACCACGATGAGTTAATGGAATTCCCAGCTCTGCTGCTATTCCAGATGCAGCAGTTATCCCTGCAAGCAATGAGAATTAATTAATTACAATGGAATCAACACTGTTCCGCCTTTTCTTCCAGAAACTATTACATAATTCATAAATCCACTAATGTCTCGCATCCTAAACATGATCAATTAAACAATACAAAATAATAGGTGACGTGAGCACAATAGAAGTCATGTTTTATGCATTCATTTCATATTATTTTCCTATAAGTGTAGTATAACTATAAAGTATAAGCTGTATGAATGCCAGACTTAGTTTCCATAGTAGGTAGTCCATTTAATTGAATGCGATGATATACTATGCATCGACTTCTATTGTTTACAAACAATAATGACAACATCAAAAGCCAAATCCCATTAGGTGAGGTTAGCTACATGGATTACAAGGCTCCATTGGACTCTCTATTGGCTTCTACTGTTTACAAAGCAGAAAAATGAAAATAAAAAACTTTCATTTTGCCCACTTGAAAAGCTATGCAGTACTTAGTGCCTAGGTCCTAGGACCAAGCATCTTTCCATGTCAACATAAGCATGATTAATCATTGACTTGCTACAAATGGCGCAAAACGTGATATGATTATACAGACTGAAAATACATGTAATTGATTGAGAGATACTTGTTTCAAGTTCTACAACTCTGTATGCACACACGCTCAACAATGAAACATTAATGCCAACTGAATCATTACATTTACAAGTCATACCTGGAATAACTTTCACGTGGATACCTTGCTGTCGCAAAAAATCCATTTCCTCTCCACCCCTCCCGAACACCTAGAAATAACCATCAACCATTTAAGACATCAACATCGGTTCATCAAAACATCAGGAATTAACTAATAGTATCATGCAAGCCATGACAAGCTAATATACTAAATCACTTCACAATTACAACCACACTAAATCAATCTCAAATGAAAACTCACCAATGGGTCGCCCCCTTTAAGTCTGACAACAGTTGCCCCAGCTTCTGCAAAACTCAAAAGAAGCTCATGTATTTCCTCCTGCCACAGGTCAACCATTAAAAAAATAAATAAATAATTTATCAGCATCAAGGGCTCAAAACAGCTCTACACCTTCTAAACAAATATCACACTTCCAAAGGAGCTTCAAAAGTTGACACAAAAACAATTTTTTTACTCCAGCAAAAATCCATCAGAAATTCCAAGAAAACCCCCCAACTCAAGGTTGAAAAAAAAAAAAAAAAAAAGTCCCTGACTTCAATTGCAGCCACAATGTCAAGGTTTGGGAGTATCCCATATCAATAATTGCATCACTACCATAATTACAACCATAATAACCTCATTCATCCGCAATTTTTCACAATATTAAGAATCACCACAAAAATGCAACCGCAATTGTAGCCACAAAAAACCACATTTATCCATAATTTTCCACAATAAGCCTGTCCAGATACAAATCCAGAAGCATTTTTTAGAGTCACATCTAGGAAAAAAAACTCTTTATTTTCACTGGACAAGCTTTCAACAGCATTTCTAAGTTGTATCCAAACACACACACTCAATATCCAAAATCCATGACATAAATGTCATCACAACCACAACAACCACATTTATCTACAATCTCCCACAACAACAAGGATCGCGACAAACCCGCAACCACCACAATTGCGGCCACAACAACAACTTATATCCATAATTTTCCACAATCCCAAATCCACAGTCACAACAACCCCATTTGTCACAATTTTCCACAAATTTGCAATATTTGAAACTGACTCAACCTTACAAAACCATCTTATAATGCGAGAATTATCCTACTTATATACTCTATTATGGTCATATCAATCAACCTAACAAAACCGTCTTATAAAGTAAGAATTATCCCACTTAAATACTCTATTATGATATTATGATCTTATCACTAGTCGATGTGGGATCACATAGCAAATACCAAAAAGGGCAGTCACATGTGTTAGTTTACCTGTGTCCTACTATGATAGCCAGCAGTTTTTCCCACATAGAGAAGCTTAGCCTGAGGTCCAACCAAATCCAGCACATCATTGGACACCAACCTATCATACAACAACAAATCAGCACCCTTCATCACTCTCACAGCTTTGAGAGTGAGAAGCTCAGGGTCCCCAGGGCCAGTGCCCACCAAGAACACGTTCCCCGGCACACACTCCCCTCCACCGCCGCAGTGCCCCCTCTTCTCCCGGAGCACGCGGAGGAGGTTCCTCAGCTCCGGCAGCTGCAGCGCGATGTCGTCCTCCCTTATGGAGGGGGAGTCGAAAGGGAGGGGGAACGACGTCGTTTGGGGCTCTGGGTTGGTGTGGTAGACCCATTGGTCCCTGTGGTACCTCTCTGTGGAGTGCTTCTCGGTGAAGGGGGAGAGGGAGAAGGAAATGGAGTGGCGGCGGGGGAAATGGGGGTTTGGGGTGGCGGGGGAGTGGAGAGAGGAGAAAGGTGCCACCTTGTGAAGAAGGGCCATGTGGGGTGGTAGCAAAAGAGGGAGTGGCGTTAAAGGGTTTATGGAGTTGTTGTGTTGTATATAAGATGTTTGAGTTTGAGAGTGACAGTGGAATGGACTTTGGAGAGATTGAGGAGACAGTGTTGTTCCCTTTGCCCTTGGGCTTTTGGGAGGGACATGATGCCTAAGTGAATGTCAATGGGGTACTTTCCCTTTTTTTTTTTTTTTTTTTTTTTTTTTTTATAAAAAAATTTTGGAACTAGATTTG